TAGGACATGGGTGATCGGTCGACCTATTATGGCATTGTAGGGGGAGGAGGTTGCTACCACCAGGAAATTGTGTTCGAATCTGACCACACAAGGCCATGTGCCGATCTCTACAAGTACTGTTACTTTCCCAAGGGGGTGGACTTCCTCTCCGCTGAAGCCCACTAAAGGGGTGTCCGTAGGCCTCAGGTCGCTTCTCTGCAACTGAAGCTGGTCGAACGCAGCTTTGAAAAGGATGTAGGCTGAGCTGCATGAGTCCACGAGTACGCGCCTGGCCTCGAAGTTGTTGATTCTTAGCTTTATTACGAGTGCATCATCTTCTGTGAAGAAAATTGGCTCTTCTGTCCTCGGCCGCTTCAGGGGGTTCTACTCCTCCCGGGTGGCTTCAAGAACCGAAGTCTGAGCTGCTGCTGAAGTGCAACCCACGACGATAGAACCACCCACTATCATGTGGATGGTTCCCCGGACCGGCCTCTCCTCTGGAGGCTGCCTCTGTGGTTGTTCAGCCGACCTGCTGCTGGACTCGGGAGCATCTCTGCCGTGCTCCCCTTGCCGACCTGTTCTATTACTATTGTTATTATTATTATTTTGTACAAAGTTTCTCAAATCTCCGCGACGGATGAGCTCCTCTATCTCGTCGCGAAGGTTTCTACAATTCTCAGTACTGTGACCATGGTCCTTGTGAAAACTACAATACAGACTCTCATTTCTTTCATTGGGATTCCCCCTCATACGGGGTGGCCACTTCACATACGGGGCATCCTTGATCGCCATCAGGATTTCGGCCCGCTTCGCATTCAGTTGGGTGTAATCAGCTCGGTCCGGTGCTGGAGCTTGGAACAATTGACCCGGCTTTGCCCCCCGAACTGTTTCTTTTTTCCTTCGGGGGTCCCCTTGACTAGAAGGCTCTCCTTCTCTCTTTCTTTTTTCGGGAGCGCCCTCGCCCTTCTGGTTGATCTCCTCTTCGGTAGCTATGAACTTATCCGCAAGTTTTAGAAACTCGGTTATGGTCGCGGGTTGATTGACGACCATGTGCCACTTGAACTCTTTGTGCGTCACGTCCTTCTTGGCTGCTGCAAGGCGTACGGCGGGGTCCAGGCGCAGTATCTGCATACAAGCGTCGTTGAACCGCTTGATATAGCTTCAGATGGACTCTCCCTCTCTTTGTGCTATGTTGAAGATGCTTTCTTCAATTCGCGGGCACCGTTTGCTGGTGACAAAGTGGGACGTGAAGGCTTGTGCGAACTGCGCCCAACTTCTTATCGACCCAGGTGCCAAGTTCCGGTACCACGTGTGGGCCGCTCTCCTAAAAGTAGTGGAGAAGGTCACGCACATGCACGACTCGCTGGCTTGCGCCAGGTGCATCTGTGACTGAAAGGCGTCTACATGATCATTCGGGTTGAACGACCCGTCATACTTGTCAAGAGGGGGGAGCTTGAAATCCTTGGGCATCGGGACTGCCAGGAGTTCGGAAGACAGGGGGACGAAACCGAGAGAAGGGGAGCTTTGGCTTCGGCCGAGCCTACCTCTTCTTTGCCCATGAGCTCGGGCAAATCGCGGGTGACAGATCGGCGAGCTCAGCGGCGCTGTCTTTGCTTCTTGATGGGCTCGGCGTTCGTGCTGCTCACCTCTGCGCTATCCAGAATGGTTTGCGCATGGAGTAGCCCGGTCTGCTGGTGGTGGCTATGGACAGAGGGGTCCTGCTTGGAACCTGTTGCCAGGATCTCGAACCGGTTTTCAAGGATCGGGGTTCCAAAGTTTGACTGT